AGAAAACATTTCACAAAACTATACAAATGTCTAATAATCACATTAAAAAGTACTTAACCAGGTACAATATTTGTACATCAATCAATGTGATACACCACATTAACAAAAGGATAAAAACCATATGATCATCTCAATAGATACTAAAATAGCATTAGACAAAATTCAACATCCATTCATGATAAAAACTGTCAACAAAATGGATACAGAGAAAACATACCTCAACATAATAAAGGCCATATATGACAAACCCACAGTTAACATCATACTAAATAGCAAGTAGCTGACAGTCTTTCCTTTAAAATCAAGAACAAGACAAGGCTGTCCACTCTCACCACTTCTATTCGACATAATAGTGCAGATCCAGGCCATGGCAATCAGACAAAACAAAGAGATAAAGGCATCCAAATTCGTAAGGAAGAAGCAAAACTGTCATTGTTTGCAAATGACATGCTAAATATAGAAAATAGTAAAGACTCCTCCAAAAAACTATTAGCACTAATGACTGGATTCAGCAAAGTTGCAGGATACAAAATTAATACACAGAAATCTGTTGTATTCCTATATCATAACAGACAAGCAGAGAGAGAAATCAGGAAAACAATTCCTTCACTATTGCATCAAAAAGAATAAAATACCTATGAATAAACCTAACCAACTAGGTGAAAGACCTATACTCTGGAAAACTGTAAGACACTCATGAGAGAAATTAAAGAAGACCCAAATAAATGGAAATGTATACCATGCTCCTGAATAGGAAGAATTAATATTGTCAAAATGGCATCCTGACCAAAGAAATTTACAGATTCAGTGCAATCACTATCAAAATACTAAAAGCATTCTTCAAGAAACTAGAACAAATAGTTCTAAAATTCATATGGAACCACAAAAGACCCTGAATAGCCAAAGCAATCCTGAGAAGGAAGAACAAAGCTAGGGGTATTATGTGCCCTGACTTCAAGCTATACTACAAAGCTTTGGTAATCAAGACAGTATGGTACTGGCACAACAACAGATCCATAGACCAATGGAACAGAACAGAAAGCCCAGATACAAACTCACACATAAATGGTCAATTAATATACGAAAAGGAACCAGGAATATACAGTGGTGAAGCAACAGTCTCTTCAACAGCTGGTGTTGGAAAAACCAGACAGCTACATGCAAGGTAATAAAACTGGATTACTATCTAATTCCATACACAAAAGTAAACTCAAAATGGACTAAAGGCCTGAATATAAGACATGAAACCATAAAACTCTCAGAAGAAAACATAGGCAAAAATCTCTTAAACATAATAAGCATGAGCAACTTTTTTCTGGACACATTTCCTCAGGCAAGGGAAAAAAATAAAAAATGAACAAGTGGGACTTATATCAAACTAAAAAGCTTCTGTACAACAAAGGACACCATCAACAAAACAAAAAGGCAACCTATGGTGTGGCAGAATATATTTTGTAAATGATTTATCTGATAAAGAGTTAACATTCAAAATATATAAAGAACCATACACTTCAACACCAAAAAAAACAAATAACCCAATTAAAAAATGGGCAGAGCACCTGAACAGACATTTTTCAAAGAAGAAATACAGATGGCCAACAGGCACATGAAAAGATGTTCCACATCACTAATCATCAGGGAAATGCAAATAACAACCACAATGAGATATCACTCACACCACTTAGAATAGTCACTATTCAAAGACAAGAAATAACAAGTGTTGGTGAGGATGTGTAGAAAGGGGAGCCTTTCTACCCTGTTGGTGGGGATGTAAAGCAGCCACTGTGGAAAGCAATATGGAGGTTCCTCAAAACACTAGAAACAGAAATACCTTATGAGCTAGTAATTCCACTTCGAAGAATTTACTCAAAGCAACAAAATCTCTCATTCAAGAAGACATATTCACCTCTATATTTATTGCAGTATTGTTTACAAGAGCCAAGATATGGAAGCAACTTAAATGTCCATCAGTAGATGAATGGATAAAGAAGAGGTGGTACATATCCACAATGGATTATTCAGCTATAAAAAAAGAAAAGAAATCCTGCCATATACAACAACATGAATGGACCTAGACAGTATTATGCTAAGTGAAATAAGCCAGACAGAGAAATATAAATACCATTAGGTTTCACTTACCTGTGCAATTTAAAAATAAAATGAGACAAAATGGACAAAACAGCAGTAGACTCACAGACAGTAAGTGACTGGTGGTTACCATAGTGTAGGTGTTGGGGTGGTTTGGTAGAATGGGTGAAGGGGATAAAAGGGCACAAAAATCTCAATCATAATGTAAGTTGGTCAGGGGGATGGAAGTGCAGCATGGAAAGTGAAGCCAATGGTTCTGCAATACCTTATCTGTCAGCAGTACAGATAGTAACTGTACTAGTTGGGGTAAGAATTTAATATATGGGTAACTACTGAACCACAGCATTGAATGCTTGAAACTAATGTAATGTTGTGTATCAACTAAACTTGAATAAAAAAATACATTTTAAGAAAGTGCTTAGTATCATTAGTCATCAGAGAAATAAGAAATAAAAGCACAGTGAGGTATCATAAACAGAACTGCGCAGTAGTTCTCAATGGGGACTAAAAGGTTGGCAATTTTGTCCCCCAGGAGGTATTTTTAGTTGTTACTGCCATCTAGAATGCTGCTAAACATCCTACAGCACACAATACAGCCTTACTTAACAAAACATTATCCTGCCCAAAATGGCAATGGTGGCCAAACTGAGAAACCCCCAACAGCAGAAATGAAAGAGATAATAGTATGAAATGTTGAAGATGTAGGGCAACTGGAACTCTTGATACATTATTAGAGGGTACTAAAATGGTTCATTCACTTTGGTGTTTGACTTGACATAAATCTTAAAAAATTCTGAGAGAAAACTTAACATCATTTAAGTTCACCTTATTACCTAAAACAGGGAAATTAGTACATTCCTGACAGTGAAATATATACTGTCTCTCACAACAAATATTAATAGTTATGGTACAATCTCATAGATCTATTTGATAAAAACCAGAGAAACAACTAATGATATACAAGTAATGGTCCTCTACTCTTTTTGTAAATAGAGTTAATTAGAGACCATATAGAGTTACTGACACTGGCTTAAGAAATGTCACAATATAGGCTGAAAAAAATTAATATAACATTTCAGAAGGATACTATATATTTATAAATTCCACAACTCATTTCATAGTATGGAATGGGGTGAAAAACAGTGTCTAACTAGTCTAAATCACCAATATTCAATACAAATATAATGAAAACTATAAACTGCAAACCACAGATGCAATGTTTAAAAATGTAAAAAGCAGATAACCATCAATTTTGATAGTATATATAATATATATATTATATAGTATGTATAGAATATGTAAAGTAACGAACATATCCAAAACATTATCATTTCAATATGCAATCTACATAAAAGATAAGATTTCATTCTTTTTTCTTACTATGTCTTCAAAATCTGATGTGTATTTTACATTTATAGCACATCACATTTTGGACTAGCCATAGTTCAACTGTTCAATACCACATGTAGCTAGTGGCTGCTACTACATAATAATTCTGGGTATTACATATTACATGACACATCCCTAAATGTTTTACATGGATTATTCACTTAATCCTTCCTGAGGCATATACAGAGGAAAGTAACTTGTCCCAAGTTCTCAGTTAGTGATAGATTCAGGATTGTACCAGCATTCAGATCTCCTGCTCAAAACCACGATACAATCCCACCTCAAATCAACATTTTTTATATTGATTTTAGACTCACAGTCTAAATGGTTTTCACTATTTTACAAGTGTGAAAGTGTAAAAATTACAAAATTTCACAATACAATAATCTTACTTTATTTTACGATTTTTTTTTTTTACAACTGCTTTGAGGCAGTTGCTGGGCACACCAAAAGTTACAATAGAAACTTTCAATCAAATTAGTATTTGATTCCTGCTTAGATATCATATGTTCATTAATGGAAACCTAGATTTCTGGCACATAAACTGATTCCCCCACCCCCACCACCATGATTTAAAATATGCTAGAAAAGACTTACCATTAGTATGAGTTTTTGATAATTTTGTTTTAGGTCTGAAATACTTGCAGATGGGTCTGCCCCCAGGATGCTGTACCAATCCTTTTGTGGTATCTGCTCAAATGCCATCATCCATTGCACAAGAAGTGGGCCTTCTCAAATCGACTGAATAGAAATATTGATGAGTTCATTACAGCTTCCGATCTAAGAAATAAGCAAGTACTTCTTTTCTAAGTTCTTTAATATTAAGCAGGCAAATCATGATTATAATGCAAACCTGATGAAGTATATATGTTCATTCAAAACGCCACAAGAACTTCATGCGTACACAAGTACAGAAAACCTGTTGCATGCTTCATGATATACGCTTGTATCTTAAGTTAATGAATATACAACAGTATTAAAAAAATTCAATAATGAATCTCAGCAGTGGATGAACCTCTAAGAAGGTATTTCTACTAGCCTCATAGAAAAAGCAGCACACAGTAAGTACTCACTAAATACACTAACCAGTCAGCACAAGTAGGCAGCGAGTAAGAGTTCTCGGTTACTGGAGAGCGGTCAGACTGCTCATAAAGAGCTCCTGAAACTGCTCCTCCAGTATTCCAGACGGTAGAAGAGACCCCGCCAGAGGCCCCAGAAACTAGGCAACCTCTACCCACAGCTGTGAACTTAACGAGAAACAGCTGGAGCCTCCTCACAATAGGGACTTGAGAATCCACTGTATTCACAGTCGACTGAATAGCCCAGGCATTTACGCCGGGTACCCGCTCATGGCTTCACTCGGTATCAAACTTACCAAACTTCATAGAGCTACTGGGCCCACTGCCGTGGACTAAAACTCGGGACCTGCCTCTCCTTCCGCCGGAAGTCATTGCACTGACGTGAACACGTTTCTAGTCGAGCCGTAGTGGCCGCGGCACCAATCGGAAGCGCCGCTACGCCCTCCTAGACGCGGTCGCCGTGGTAACCAGTAGCCGCTTCCAAGGAGTTTACTAGCTGTAGTGCCTGGCTGTGGGAAAAGGGGTCCTTCGCCTCGCCTGGTACTAACTCTCCCTTGTCTCGGGTCCGCGACTGTCGCTTTTCCCCTTTTCCTCAAAGAGCCCCCCCTCCCCTGCTCCCGCCTCCTCTGCCTTCCCCAAGGCTTCCTCCGCTTACCCTACCCAGCTCCGCTTCCAATTCTTCTGTGTGGGTGACTGTACTTGGGCTGAGGGGGTGGGTAGAGGGGGTGTAGGGAGGTGTATGTGGATGAGGAGATCTGATTCCTCCCTTGTTTCTACACTTATCTTAGAATGTTTTCGTTGGAAAATTAAGAACTAAAACCTATGCAGAGTAAAGGTTTTCTTTTCGATTTTAATAATGTTTCTGGAAAAGATAATTCAACCAAATTATTTCTTTTAGATATTAGCAACCAAGTTAAAAAGTAAGAATTTTTCAAAGTTCTTTCACATTTAATATCTCACTCGACTTTCACTTCTACCCCCTAAGGAAAGTAAAATGGGACTGACTATTCCCACTTTGTGGATAAGGAAACAAAGAGGGGATCAAGGCCAAATAGTTAATCGGGGAGCAACAGAACAGGGCTCTTAACATAGTCTACCTATTCCCAGGGCTGTTACGCTTTGAAACAGTTGTAGTTATATATGTATATTTGAAGTATAGTTGATATACAGTCTTGTATTGGTTTCAAATAGACAAAACAGTGGTTCAACAGTTAATCATATTTTTAAATCCTCAGCCCCACTAGTTGCTGTCAACGTAAGAAGATGTTACAGAATCATTGACTATCTTCTACAGGCTGCACCACTATCCCTGTGATCAACTTATATTATAGTTGAGAATTTTTGTGCCCCTATATCCTCCTAACTCTCCCTGCTCATCCACCCAGACCTCTCCCTCTTGGTAACCAACAGTCACCTCTCAGTGTCTATGAGCCTAATGACATTTTGTTTTGCTTTGCTTTTATGTTTGACAATGAGTGAAATCATATGGTATTTGTCTTTCTCTGCATGGCTTATTTCACTGAGCATAATACCCTCTAGGTCTATCCATGCGTTGCAAATGGCAGGATTTCTTTTTTATGGCTGAATAATATTCCATTGTGTATATGTACCACATCTTTATCTACCCATCTACTGATGGACACTTACATTGCTTCCATATCTTGGCTCTTGTATATAATACAGTGATAAACGTAGGTATGCATATGTCTTTTTGAACAATTAGGTTTTTCTGTTAGTTTATTCCCTCTTCACTCTCTCTTTCTTCCATTCTGTTCTTCCCTTTTATTATCTCTTCTCTGGGCTGCTTACCTTATATTGACCTCTCTTACTTGCATCATACTTGGGAGGTGAAAACTGCATCTTATTTATTGGCACCTGATTTAAATTTCACTTCAAGGAGTTCAGGTAGTTCTATTGCTGTTACTGCTTAGATGTAGCTTTCCTTCTTTTTAATCTTTTTTCTACCGAAGTAAAAAAAAATCTAGAGTGAAAAGTATACAGTATGTTCTACATAGAATTTTGTCATGTTTACAAGTAGACACAAAGAACCTTATACTGAGTGAGAGGACCTGGTTTTAGTCCTGGTTCCAACATACCTTCTGTGTGGCTCTAAGAAAATACCCAGAATGACAGAATGTGTTGTTCAGAATACCTTCCTATACTGTACTATGAGAATGACACCCCTCCCTCCAACTTCATAGCCCTCAAACACCCCTTTACACTGCTTTGTCTTTCCTTATATAGTTATGCTCAAATCCTCTAGATTTTACAGCAAGAATACTTTATTTTGACTTATGATTCCATTAGGGTATTGTATTATCACTTTTACTCTTTTTTTAACCAGATTCTGAAAAGTCTAATTACAGTACCTCAATTTCCTCAATGAACTTTTTTTATATTTGTATTTATTTATTTGTTTGGGTTTGGAAAGTAGGAGATACACATTTTCCCCAAGCAAATCTGAAGTGCTTTGTCGTTTCATCTCAACATACTTTAGTATGCATCCTTAAAGCATACTTTAGTTTTCCAACTTTTTCTTTTATCTCCATAATGTCATTATTCCTCTAAAATGATCAATAATTCATTGATGACATGCAATATCTAGTTCTTATTTATATTTCCCTACTTATCTCATAAATGTTCTTTCTTTTTATTTTGGTATCATTAATCTACAAGTACATGAGCAACATTATGGTTACTAGACTCTCACCATTATCAAGATCCCCCTACATACCCCATTACAGTCACTGTCTATCAGCATAGTAAGATGCTGTAGAATCACTACTTGTCTTCTCTGTGTTATGCAGCCCTCCCCATGCCCCACACACACATTACACATGCTAATCATAATGCCCCCTTTCGTTCCCCCCCCCCATCCCTCCCTTCCCACCCATCCTCCCCAGTCCCTTTCCCTTTGGTAACTGTTAGTCCATTCTTGGGTTCTGTGAGTATGCTGCTGTTTTGTTCCTTCAGTTTTTCTTTGTTCTTATACTCCACAGATGAGTGAAATCATTTGATACTTGTCTTTCTCCGCCTGGCTTATTTCATTGAGCATAATACCCTCTAGCTCTACCCATGTTGTTACAAATTGAAGGATTTGTTTTCTTCTTCTTATGGCTGAATAATATTTCATTGTGTATATGTACCACATCTTCTTTATCCATTCATCTACTGATGGACACTTAGGTTGCTTCCATTTCTTGGCTATTGTAAATAGTGCTGCGATAAACATAGGGGTGCATGTTTCTTTTTCAAGCTGGGCTGCTGCATTCTGAGGGTAAATTCCTAGGAGTGGAATTCCTGGGTCAAATGGTATTTCTATTTTGAGTTTTTTGAGAAACCTCCATACTGCTTTCCACAATGGTTGAACTAATTTACATTCCCCACCAGCAAGGTAGAAGGTACCCCTTTCTTCACATCCTCGCCAAAATTTGTTGTTGTTTGTTTTTTGGATGGCGGCCATCCTAACTGGTGTGAGGTGATATCTCATTGTGGTTTTAATTTGCATTTCTCTGATAACTAGTGATGTGGAGGATCTTTTCATGTGTCTGTTGGCCATCTGAATTTCTTCTTTGGAGAAGTGTCTGTTCAGATCCTCTGCCCATTTTGTTTTTAGAGGGCATCTCTCATATTTATTGATCAAATTGTTGTTAACAACAATAAAATTCTGTATAGTGGACTCATTGCACAATCATTAATCAACCCCAAGCCTAATTCTCAACAGTCTCTAATCTTCTGAAGCATAACAAACAAGTTCTTACATGGTGAACAAGTTCTTACATAGAGAATAAGTTCTTACATGGTGAACAGTGCAAGGGCAGTCATATAACTGAAACTTTTGGTTTTGATCACGCATCATGAACTATAAACAATCAAGTCAGATATGATTATCCATTTGATTTTTATACTTGATTTATATGTGAATCCCACATTTCTCCCATATTTTTTTAATAAAATGCTGAAGTGGTAGGTAGATGCAAGAAAAAGGTAGAAAACATAATTTAGTGCTGTAAGAGGGCAAATGTAGATGATCAGGTTTGTGCCTATAGACTAAGTATTAATCCAAGCTAGACAAGCTCTGCCCATTTTTTAATTGGATTATTTGTTTTTTGTTTGGAGGTGTGTGAGCTCTTTATATTTTTTGGATGTCAACCCTTTATTGGATATGTCATTTATGAAATATATTCTCCTATACTGTAGGATGCCTTTTTGTTCTATTGATGGTGTCCTTTGCTGTACAGAAGCTTTTCAGCTAATATAGTTCTACTTGTTCATTTTTGCTTTTGTTTCCCTTGCCCATGGAGATATGTTCATGAAGAAGTTGCTCATGTTTATGTCCAACATGTTTTTGCCTATGTTTTTTTCTAAGAGTTTTATCATTTCATGACTTACATTCAGGTCTTTGATCCATTTCAAATTTACTTTTGTGTATGGGGTTAGACAATGATCCAGTTTCATTTTCTTACATAAAGCTAGCTGTCCAGTTTTGCCAACACCAGCTGTTGAGGCTGTCATTTCCTCATTGTATATCTGGCTCCTTTATCAAATATTAATTGACCATATATGTTTGGGTTAATGTCTGGAGTCTCTAATCTGTTTCACTGGTCTGTGGGTCTGTTCTTGTGCCGGTATCAAATTGTCTTGATTACTGTGGCTTTATAGTAGAGCTTGAAGTTGGCAAGCAAGATCCCTCCTGCTTTACTGTTCCTTCTCAGGATTGCTTTGGCTATTAGGGGTCTTTTGTGGTTCCGTATAAATTTTAAAACTATTTGTTCCAGTTCATTGAAGAATGCTGTTGGTATTTTGATAGGGATTGCATTGAATCTGTAGATTGCTTTAGGCGGCATGGCCATTTTGACAAAATTAATTCTTCCTATCCAAGAGCATGGGATGGATTTCCATTTGTTAGTGTCCTCTTCAATTTCTCTTAAGAGTGTCCGGTAGTTTTCAGGGTATAGGTCTTTCACTTCCTTGGTTAGGTTTGTTCCTAGATATTTTATTTTTTTTAATACAATTGTGAATGAAATTGTTTTCCTGATTTCTCTTTCTACTAGTTCATCATTAGTGTATAGGAATGCATCAGATTTCTGTATATTAATTTTGTATCCTACAACTTTGCTGAATTCTGATATTAGTTCTAGTTGTTTTGGAGTGGAGTCTTTAGGGTTTTTTATGTACAATATAATTTCATCTGCAAATAGTGACAGTTTGACTTCTTCTTTACCAATCTGGATGCCTTGTATTTCTTTGTTTTGTCTGATTCCTGTGGCTAGGACCTCCAGTGCTATGTTGAATAAAAGTGGGGAAAGTGGGTATCCCTGTCTTGTTCCAGATGTTAGGTGAAAAGCTTTCAGCTTCTCACTGTTAAGTATGATGTTGGCTGTGGGTTTGTCATATATGGCCTTTATTATATTGAGGTACTTGCCCTCTATACCCATTTTGCTGAGAGTTTTTATCATGAATGGATGTTGAATTTTGTCAAATGCTTTTTCAGCATCTATGAAGGTGATAATGTGATTTTTGTCCTTTTTGTTGATGTG